ACTGCATATTTGTTTTTCATTTGTAATTGAAAACAACTTTGCAATCAATGTACGCATACATACAGTCATGGTAATAAAAACAATTTACAAATTGAGGTGCAAAATATTGGTTATTTTATCCTGCCCCACCGCCCAAGCTAAGGGTGAATACTCCTATCCCAATCAGTTTCATTAAAAAACACAAACAACTCGTACCACATGTGAATCACAGTTTTTCTTCTTAAAAAAAATAAAACCAAACTAGGAACAATTAAAATCAGATCATTTTATTAAATGTGTGTGTTATAATTCTCTCTCTCTATTTATGATTACAACCTAGCTATTCCTCAAAGCTTAGTATTCTTGGGACACCAATTCACTCAAGAAACGTTCTCCGAAAATCAGAACACCGTTGAATAGGAAAAAAAAGCAGATTGAAATTCCAATAATAAGGTTAGAATGGAAGTCAGAGAAGTCCAAATGAGAAAGATGTTAGTATATTTTATAGTTTTCTTACATGAGAACATTCTAGAATGTTCTCACAGTATCAGCTAGCGCTGATTGGATACGGGAGAGCCAATCAGCATGCAACAATGCAATCATGCTTTCAGTCAGTCATTCAATCAGATGCAACGTAGAACTACGTACGTAAGTACATCAGTTCATGTTGTCATACCACCACATCAGCACAGAGAAGTAATTGTCAATTCAAATCCAATAGTAGTAGAGGTAGTAAAGGTATTAGAAGTATTCGGAGAGGTTAGGATTAGAAGATATTATTCATGAAGTATGATTTAATGAGAAAAGTTTAGAAAGAAAAAAACTAGAGTTGTTGAAGAATCCAGAAGATTAGGATTTGAGAGAACACAAAGAATAAATGTACCGGCGCCATTGCAAACGATTTTGAGCCATGTCATTCAAGGTCTCAAACCATCGATTATTATCATCTCGCGGACCCCAATCAGGTAGTCGACATCTGTCAACATGGCTAAGTTCACTCGTCAATGACTTCATGGATTTGTGCCATGTTTTGGTTTGGCCGCCCCTAACTTTCTTCCAATCTACTCCTACACCTCAGCTGAAGTTTCAGCAAATCATCTATTGATGTTCCATTCTCACCTAGCACCCATGTCCTAATAACAGCGTTGCTCAATCGCGTGTCCCACGATATACGAGCAATGCTTCGAAGACACCCATGATCGAAAACCAGTAACTTACGAATATCTACTCTCACTGGCCATGTTTCACAGCCATAAAGTAAGACGGAGCGAACCACTGCACAGTACACTCGTCCTTTAGTCAGCAAACGGATATCTCGCCTACGCCATAAGTGACGCAGGTTGGCAAAAGCCAATCGAGCTTTCTGTATCCGAGCTGAGATTTCGTCAGTCACCAGGCCATCAGCACTGATGAGACTCGCCAGATAAGTGAGGCGGTCTACACGTTCGACCACTTCACTCCCAATCACTAGTTCAGGTGCCGATGTAACACAATCTTGAAGCAACATTTTGCATTTCGAGGGGGAAAACCGCATCCCGAACATGCTTGCATTGTTGCTTAGGGTGGTCAGAAGACTCTGTATTTTGTCAATCATGCTTTCATCCAATCCTATGTCGCACGAACAATGTGGAATGTTGAAAAGGCTTTTTTTAAAATCTTTTTCTACATATCAATTTTTTCTGTTTAAATGGGAGAAAGGAATTAATACATATCAGTCTTCCTGAAAAGAATGGAACCTACTAGTAAATTCCAAAAAAACATTAAAACATCATAAAACAACGAAGAGTTCATAAATCGTGGTGGTGTTTTGTTTTCTGAACTGGATGTTTTGGTTGTGGAGTTTTCATTGTTCTTCTGCTGAACAACAACATCATCATCAGAACAAACTTCAGATTTGAAGTTTACCAAAAAGGCAGGCTTCCATTCGAGAACAACTCTACTTTCCACACGAATGTCTTCGTCAGCATGTTCTGCCAACAAGTGTTAGATACTTCACAAATCTATGAAGTCACTGACAAATGAACTAAGCCATGTTAGCAGGTGTAGACTACCTGGTTGTTAGGGTCCACGAAACAGTAGTAACCGATAGTTAGAGACCTTGAATGACATGTCTCAAAATCTTTAGCGATGGCGCAGGTGCATTCATTCTTTGTGTTCTCTCAAATCCTAGTCTTCTGAATTCCTCATCATCTTTATCTTTCTTTTCTCAAATATATTTCATTGAATTATACTTCTTGAATAATATCTTTGATCACTAATCTTCTCCATTACCGCTAATACTTCTACTACCTCCACTAATATGGGATTTGAATTGACAATTGTGCCTCTGTGCTAATGTCGTACGGCAACTCGTACTGATATACGTACGTACTACATTACATCAGCTGAATTTATAAGGATAAATGCCAGAGTAGGAGAAATTGTAACATTATCAATGGTAGTGTAAAGGTTAGAACACAAACAATATGATAGAGTAACTTGATTGACCGCACATTTATAACAGGCTCCATATCAATGACAAACAACTGATTGACATAATTCGAGAAGTAAAAATAAATCTGTGCCAAAAAAACATATAAGGTGATTTTAAAACTCAAAACATAAAAAAAAAATAGAGAATCAGTCAATCAATCCATCAGTGTTGTTACCGTGACCAATGTTCAGTTACGTCACCTAGGCATCGCCAAATACAACTGACTGAAATAATCATGTGAACTTCCAATACAGACAGTCTGTATTCATCACAACACAGTTCACATTAACAGTAAATTTTGAAATCACTTCAATTAAATGACCTGCCTCAATAAATTAAAAATTGGCAGAATCTTTTTGTTTAGGGATGTTAGATCCCCAAAACTCGCTTGATAAATAAATGCCTTATTTTGGTTTTCACGTTTGCAAGCATGGGCTGATCGGTTGACCTTGAGATTTCATTTCCCACCAACGAAATCCATGGCTGTGATTGACTGCTGCGTGTTATTTTAGTGTGCTATTTTTTATAACTTTCCCAAGGACGTTTCTATAATGTATAAATAAACGAGAGTTGTGTGCTTGATTGTATTGTATTGTGACTGCTGGATGTTTGTAGAATACACTTCTACGCTTACAAAGACTTCAATCTACAGCTTGGGATTGAAGGTAGCCTATCTGGACGCTGGTTCATTGTCTCGTTTGCGTTTATCGACTAAAATGAACTCGTAATAGCTTCAAGCACACCTAGTGACGAATATATAAATTTTAAACCCCAAACAAATAGAAAATCAACTGTTACGAAATAAACTGACAATAAAAAAAATTAATCGATAATTAGCACATTAATAAGCGAAAATAAGGTGTTAACAATCTATTTCACTATAAATTCATATAAACGGATGAAAGGTTTACATAATAATATTGATTTTCAAGGGAATAAAGTTAGACAGGAATGAGAACGAATAGGCGATAGTAAACTAATTCCCTGAGTGCTTAAGTATAGAGAACATTGTAATTGTGAAAATTGTTGGATACAACCTAGTTGTCTAACACGAAGTAGAGCAGGAACCGAATTTGGTATGGTTGACTGAAAGCTGGACGATTTAACCATCAAGCCACAATTCCAGATGAACGCCGATAGCTCAGTAGTTGAAACTTCCAACAATTGCTTTACAGATTTGAATCGTTTACAAATAATAACGTTTAGACAGCTAGGTAGTATAGCACCACTCTACATGAACTTCATTGACTACGAGAAAGCATTCGATAGAGGCTTCTTCGACATACAGTGTGCCTGAGAAAATAGTTAACATCATACTGAATTCTTATGATGCGTTCAACTGCAAAATCGTACACGGAGGACAGCTAATAGACTCTTTCGAGGTGAAGACCGGTGTCAGGCAAGGTTGCTTACTCTCACCCTTTCTCTTTCTCCTGGATCATCGACTGGATTATGAAGACGTCAACTTCTGGAGGGAAGCACGGTATCAACTGGACAGTTAAGACGCAGCTGAACGATCTGGACTTCGCAGATGACCTGGATCTTCTATCTCACACACAACAATGAATGCAAGAGAAGACAACCAGTGGAGCGGCAGCTTCTGCAGCATCAGGTCTCAACATACATAAAGGAAAAAGCAAAACTCTCCGATGCAACACAACATGCACCAACCAAATCACTCTTCATGGAGATGCCTTGGAGGACGTTAACACCTTTACATATCTGGGCAGCATCATCGACGAGAAAGGTGGATCGGATGCAGATGTGAGAGCGCCGATCGGCAAAGCAAGGGCCTCATTTCTACAGTTGAAAAATATCTGGTACTCCAAATAACTTTCAACCAAAACGAAAATCAGGGTTTTCAATACAAATGTCAACACAGTTCTACTTAAGGAGCGGAAACTTGGAGAACTACCAAAGCCATCATCCAGAAGATACAACTGTTCATTAACAGTTGTCTTCACAAAATACTTCGGATTCGTTGGCCAGACACTATCAGCAACAACCTACTGTGGAAAAGAATAAACCAGATTTCAGTGGAGAAGGAAATCAGGAAGAAGCACTGCTGCAAGTGGATAGGACACACACTACGAAAAGCACCTAACTGCGTCACGAGACAAGCCCTCACATGGAACCCCCAAGGCAAAAGGAAAAGAGGAAGGACAAGAAATACATTACGCCGAGAAATAGAGAAAGATATGAGAGGAATGAACAAAGCTGGAAAAAACTAGAAAGGGAAGCCCATGAAAGTGTTGGTTGGGGGAAACTGGTGGGCGGCCTATGCTCCATTGGGGTTAACAGGCGGAAGTAAGTAAGTAAGTAAGTAAGTAAGTAAGTATAGCACCACAGCTTACATACGAAACGTACCAGGAGAGCTTAACATAACCAAGTATACTGAGCGCGATATTTGAAAAAACAACCAGACCGTCTACATCATCACATCATCAAATGATTTCAACAATGATACCTCAAATAGAAAAGAATAAAAAAAAAGTAGCGGCAACTTTGAAAACATTTCAATTTAAAAAAAAAAATCCATACAACTTACTAAAACCGGTTTTAAACAAGTAAGCAATTCAGCAAAACGTCGACGTTCTTCTACCACAGCTCTACGTAAACTAACACGTTCTAATTCTGCTAAAGTTTGTCGTTTCAAAATTAAATCATGTTGTACAAAATTTAAATGCATATTATCACCAGAATGAAGTACAATACCATTGTGATTTTTTGAATCATTAGATTGTGTTGTAGAAAATGCATAAATTTCATTATGTGAATTAGAATCCACATTACCGATAGTATAAGATGAAGTTGAACTACCCTATAGAAGTAAGAAAATATATATATATGAAGTGAAATGAAATAATGGAATTCAATGTGTTAAATTATTGTATGCGAAATTATGCATAGGACTTATTAATTAGGTACAGAGAGGAATATTTTCGGCTTGAAGTCATAATATATATATATATATATATATATATATATATATATATATATATATATATGAAGGTTAATGATACGAGGATCTTGTTTAAATCGACCTAGGTGGAGTATAATGCGCTCGGTCCGACTTTACCGATGTGAAACAGACAGACAGATACAACACAGAACTTCGTACATAAGTACATCAGTTCAGGTTACCATTCCCCATCAACACAGGGACGCAACTGTCAGTCCAAATCCAACAGTGATAGCGATAGTAGAATTATTAGCAGTAATGGATAAGAATAGGGTTCGAAGATATGATTCGAGAAGTATAATTCAGTGGGATAAATTTAGAAGGAGAAAGATAGAGATGATGAGGAATTCAGAAGGTTAGAATTTCATAGAACACAAACAGTGGATGCACCTGAGCCATGTTATTCAAGATCTCTAACCATTGGTGACTTTCGTCTTGCGGACCCCAACCAGGTAGCCGACATCTGCCAACATCACTCAGTCCACTTGTTAGTGACATCATGGATTTCTGCCATGTTTTGTTTTGGCCGCCCATAGCTTTGTTCCAATCTACTCCTACACCACAAAACATAGCTCTTCGCGACAGTCGGTGGTTAGGCATGCGTAACACATGTCCCAACCACCCCTCAACTGATGAAGTTTCAATACTTCATCTATTGATTTGCCATCCCTACCTAGAACTCGTTTCCTAACGACAGCATTGCTTATACGGTTGTCTCACGATATACGAGCAATGCTTCGGAGACATCGATGATCGAAGACTAGTAAACTACGAAAGTCCTCTACTCTCGTAACCTACGAGAGTAGAGTGTTAAACATGGACACTAAGAAGCGAGGATATTTTCAGGATATTAGTATTCGAACATAAGTGTCTTCGAAGTATTGCTCGTATATCCTAGAACCACTGAGTAAACAATGCTGGCGTTAGAAAAATGGTACCACGTAAGGATGGCAAATCAAGTGGTGAATCTGCATCAGTGGAGGTGGTTATGACATGTATTACGAATGATCAAGTACCGACTGCCTCGATGAGTGATGATGTAGCCTAGTGTAGGGGTAGGCTGGTAAAAAGCTAGTGGTAGCCAGAACAAACCATGGAGCTAATCCATCAAGTCACTGACAAATGAACTGAATCATATTAGTATGTGTAGACTACCTGATTGAGGTCTGTGAGACAATAATAACCGATAGTTAGAAACTAAGAACGACATGGTTCAAAGTTGCTCGCAATAGCGCAGGTGCATTCATTCTTTGTCTTCTCTTAAATTCTAATCTTCTGAACTCCTCATGACCAGTTTTTTTCTCTTCTTAAATTTATTTCAATGGGATATACTTCTAGAGTGATCTCTTCGATTCGCTATCTTTTTGATTACCGCTAATACTGCTACTACCTCTAATGCTATGAAATTTGAACTGATGATTCAATCTGTCTGTACGACAACTTGAACTGTCTTCTGTACGTAACACGTTCTACGTTGCAAATAACTGACTAGAGTCAATTAGAGTCAAAATAAAGACTGAACGTCAAATGTTTTAGACACTGAAACACCAATCCCCCTAGATAAATAGTAACGAATATGAAATGTCTGTGTGTGTGTGTTACTGCTAACACTTCTACTATCGCTAACACTATTGGATTTGAACTAACAATAGCATCTCTGCGCTAATGCAATATGGAAACTGGAACGGATGTAAGTATGTATGAAATTCTATGTTATAACTGACTGACTGATGTGTGTGTTGTATCCGGATGAAGATTAAGGTCGAAAATCAGTTATTTATGGATTATTATTATTGTACATAGTCTTATTACATTACATATAATTATGACGTAACTAAATGATTAGCTATATATGTTTTCGTTTT